ATCTGATATTCAAAGATGGGGTAATCTCCCGCTTTCTTTGATCGGTAAGATTAATGTCGTTAAAATGAACATCCTACCAAAATTTTTATTTTTATTTCACTCAATTGCCTTATTTTTGCCGGAACATTTCTTTGTTTCAATGGACAAGATTATTGGTTCTTTCATTTGGGGAGGGATGCCGCCTAGGGTTGCTAAAACGTTGCTGCAGCAATGCAGATTTAGTGGAGGACTTGCATTACCTAATTTTCTAGCTTATTACTGGGCCGCTCACATTCATAAACTCTGCTACTGGCTAAAATCTTCTGGTTCCTCGTGGTGTAAATTGGAGCTATTATCATGTAAGGGCTCTTCTTTACCAGCTTTGCTCTATTCCTCTTTACCCGTAAAACCCTCTTTGTATACTGATAATCCGGTGGTTCTTAACACACTCAAAATCTGGTTTCAGTTTAGACGACACAATCATTTTGGAATGCCATCCTCTTCGGGTCCTCTAACCAACAATCATTTGTTTCCCCCTTCACTTTTGGACACGACATTCTCAGTGTGGTGTGACAAGGGTATAGAACAGTTTAAACATTTATATGTGGATTGTGTGTTCGATAGTTTTCCATATTTGTCTTCTCGTTATAATCTCCCTATTACCCATTTGTTTCGCTATTTTCAAATTCAAAATTTTGTTGCCAAGTGTTTCCCAAATTTCCCCTCTTTACCTCCAGAACAGCGGTGGGAAACTATGTTATATTTTATTCCTCATCACAGAGGAACCATTTCAAAACTTTATGATGCTATTCTGTCTTTTAGTAACCATTCTGAGGTTAAGCTTAGGGGTATATGGGAAGGAGAACTAGGAATTGGAATACATGAGGAGTCTTGGGAACAGGCTATAGCAAGGGTACGATCTTCCACCTCCTGCGCTCGTCTTGGACTTATCCAATTTAAGGTTATTCATAGGGTGCATTTCTCTAAGTCTAGACTTTCTGAACTGTATCCGGAAGTGGAAAATAAATGTGATAAATGCCAGGGTTCTCCTTGTCACCTTAGCCACATGTTTTTTTTGTGTCCTGAGCTACAACGTTTCTGGACAGGGTATTTTGCTATTATGTCAACTGTTCTTGGGGTAACTCTTCATCCTTGTCCTCTGATTGCGGTATTCGGGATTCCTGACCGCTCACTTATACTGGACTCCACACAAAAGGATATCATTGCCTTCACATCCCTATTAGCGAGACGTTTAATATTGTTACATTGGAAGTCTGCTAAGTGTCCTACTGTTTCCCAGTGGCTTAAAGATGTCATGTTTTTTTTTTTAAACTTGAAAAACTTAAATATACGCTGAGAGGTTGCACGGCCAATTTTTTTCATAAGTGGCAACCCTTTATCTTTTATTTTACTAGTCTAGAGGTATTACCTGTTTAAATGTACTTCTGATATTGTTATATTCTGGTAATATGTTTGATGGTCGTGTTGATCTGTGTGTGTGTGTGTGGGGGGGGGGGGGGGTCTTTGTTTTTGGTATGTTTTTTTGTTTAATTGTCTTGTCCCCCTTTTTTTGTTGTTGTTCTGTCTGTTTGTTGTTATTTGCCTAGAAAAATGAAGAAAGGTTAATTGTATTTTGGTAATTGCAAGTACTGTTGTTTTCTTCTTTCAATAAAAATATTAAAAAAAAAGATCACACACCAACACACAACAAAACACAACATCACATAACGTTACACAACATCACATAACATCACACAACATAACATCACGCAACATCACACAACAACACGCACAACATCACTCAACATAACATCACACAATATCACAAAACAACACACAACATCACACAACAACACACAACTTCACACAACATCACACAACATCACACAAGATCACACTCCAACACACAACATCACACAAGATCACACAACATCACACACAGCACACACAACATCACACAAGATCACACACCAACACACAACATCACACACAACATCACAACATCAAACAACATCACACACAATGCACACAACATCACACAACAACACACAACATAACACAACATCACACAACAACATACAACATCATATAACATCATATAACATCACACAACATCACACACAGCACACACAACATCACACAAGATCACACTCCAACACACAACATCACACAACATCAAACAACATCACACACAACGCACACAACATTACACAAGATCACACACCAACACACAACATCACACATCACACAGCAACACACGACACACAAAACATCACACATAACATCACACAACAACAAACAATATCATACAATATCACACAACATCACACAACTCACAGCATCAAACAACATCACAGACCATTACACAACATCACACACAACATCACACAACATCACACAACATCACACAACAAACAACATCGCACAACACACAACATCACACAACAACACTCAGCAACACACAACATTCCACAACATCACACTACACACCACAACACGCATCACAAAACATCACACAACACACAACATCACACAACAACACACAATATCACACAACAACACACATCACACAACAACACATATCACACAAAAACACACATCACACAACAACACACAACAACACTCAGCAACACACACCATTACACAACATCACACTACACACCGCAACACACATCACACAACATCACACAACAACACACAACATCACACAAAATCACACAACAACACACAACATCACACTACACACCACAACACGCATCACAAAACATCACACAACACACAACATCACACAACAACACACAATATCACACAACAACACACATCACACAACAACACATATCACACAAAAACACACATCACACAACAACACACAACAACACTCAGCAACACACACCATTACACAACATCACACTACACACCGCAACACACATCACACAACATCACACAACAACACACAACATCACACAAAATCACACAACAACACACAACATCACACTACACACCACAACACACATCACACAACATCACACTACAACACACAACATCACACAACAACCCACAACATCACACAACATCACACAACAACACACAACGTCACACAACATCACACAACAACACACAATGTCACACAACATGACACAGGCTGGTTTTTAATGTTTGTCTCCCCCTTCTGGCAGGGAGAGCAATCACAAACCACATGCCACTGCAGGATTGGGCCACTGAAAAGAAAGAAATCTAATCTCAAGATTCCAGATTTCTGACCTTTTCCTCTGAAATATTAAAGTCAGAATTATATTTCTTTCCTTTCGGTGGCCCTAGTCCTCTTCCATACAGGTGCTGGCCAGTAAATTAGAATATCATCAAAAGGTTGAAAATATTTCAGTAATTCCATTCAAAACGTGAAACTTGTACATTATATTCATGCAATGCACACAGACCAATGTATTTCCAATGTTCATTACATTTAAATTTGATATTCATAAGTGACAACTAATGAAAACTCCAAATTTGGTATCTCAAAAAATTAGAATATTCTGAAAAGGCTGAATATAGAAGACACCTGCTGCCACTCTAATCAGCTGTTTCACTCAAAACACCTGCAAAGGCCTTTAAAAGGTCCCTCAGTCTTGTTTTGAAGGCACCACAATCATGGGGAAGACTTCTGACTTAACAGCTGTCCAAAAGACAATCATTGACACCTTGCACAAGGAGGGCAAGACACAAAAGGTGATTGCTAAAGAAGCTGGCTGTTCGCAGAGCTCTGTGTCCAAGCACATTAACAGACAGGCGAAGGGACGGAAAAAATGTGGTAGAAAAAAGTGTACAAGCTCTAGGGATAACCGCACCCTGCAGAGAATTGTGACGACAAACCCATTCAAAAATGTGGGGGAGATCCACAAAGAGTGGACTGCAGCTGGAGTCAGCGCTTCAAGAACCACCACGAGGAGACACATGAAAGACATGGGATTCAGGTGTCGCATTCCGTGTGTCAAGCCACTCTTGAACAAGAAACAGCGCAAGAAGCGTCTCGCCTGGGCCAAGGACAAAAAGGACTGGACTGATGCTGAGTGGTCCAAAGTTATGTTTTCTGATGAAAGCAAGTTCTGCATTTCCTTTGGAAATCAAGGACCCAGAGTCTGGAGGAAGAGCGGAGAAGCACAGAATCCACGTTGCATGAGGTCCAGTGTAAAGTTTCCACCGTCAGTGATGGTGTGGGGTGCCATGTCATCTGCCGGTGTTGGCCCACTCTGGTTCCTGAGGTCCAGGGTCAATGCAGCCGTCTACCAGGAAGTTTTAGAGCACTTCATGCTTCCTGCTGCTGACCAACTTTATGGGGATGCAGACTTCACCTTTCAACAGGACTTGGCACCTGCACACAGTGCCAAAACCACCAGCACCTGGTTCAAGGACCATGGTATCCCTGTCCTTGATTGGCCAGCAAACTCGCCTGACCTTAACCCCATAGAAAATCTATGGGGTATTGTGAAGCGGAGGATGCAATACGCTAGACCCAACAATGCAGAGGAGCTGAAGACGACTATCAGAGCAACCTGGGCTCTCATAACACCTGAGCAGTGCCACAGACTGATCGAGTCCATGCCACGCCGCATTACTGCAGTTATTGAGGCAAAAGGAGCCCCGACTAAGTATTGAGTGCTATACATGCACATTCTTTTCATGTTCATTCTTTTCAGTTGGCCAACATTAGAGAAACAAACATTTTTTCATTGGCCTTTAGAATATTCTAATTTTCTGAGATACCAGATTTGATGTTTTCATTGGTTGTCACCTATAAATATCAAAATTAAACGTAATAAACATCAGAAATACATTGGTCTGTGTGCATTGCATGAATATAATGTACAAGTTTCACGTTTTGAATGGAATTACTGAAATATTTTCAACCTTTTGATGATATTCTAATTTACTGGCCAGCACCTGTAGTTTCTTCAGCAAAACTGGAGAGTTGCTAACCAGCCTCTGCTTAGGAAACTAACGGAGCTGGAGTGGATTATCCGTACCTGTTTTCCAGCGTCTTGATGTTCTCTGTGAGTAATCGCTGCTGCTCTTTCATCTGCTGGTTTCTGGTGAAAAGTTCCTCCATTCGTTTAGAATCGCTGTCGACAGGAAATAAACAAAATTGTGTGCAAAAAAGCACCTTCAGTGTTATTCAGGCCAGCAGATGGGTCTTCTCTGTAGTTAGTGCAGTGGCTACACTACGCAGCTGTGATGCCACCTCATCAAAGACAACGAGCTAACTAGCATGCTAGTTTAGGCAAGTAGCTCTCTAGGCTATGAAAAGAAAACAAATTTTCTTAAAACGTTTCTCAGAAAAAGAGTAACACAAGGAGCTTCATAAAACAAAAATACATAAAACGTAATAACATTTTTAATGAAATGACAATTTTTTTTTAAATGTAAGGAAAGGGAGAGAGAAAATGAATAGGAAAGAGGGAAACTGATGGATGCCAGGAAAGGTGGTGTTACAGCCAAATCTGTGACCTAGTGTAATGTGTGACTGCAGGGGGCGCTAATGAGTATTTCTCATTTTCTAGGTCTTATAAGAAAGAAGAAGAGCAATAACGTAAGCTGCCTGTCACAGCTCTTTCTTCTGGTGAGGAAGGTGTTGCTGAAAGATCGTAGCAGAAAAAAAACTCGTTAGAACGTTCAACTGATATCGTTCTGCTCCAAATACAAATAAATCTCATTTTCATCCACTGTGATGCCAGAAAAAAAGGTGAAGCACCAAATCCCAGCTGTGACAGCCCTTAGGCAACTTACGTTGTTGTTCTTCTTCTTTCTTATAAGACCTAGACAGTGAGAAATACTCATTATCACCCCCTGCAGTCACACATTACACTAGGTCACAGATTTGGCTGTAACACCTACAAAGCTCTGATCACTGGACAAACTGCTCTACCTCCTGAGCTACTGCTGTTACTGATTTCTGAAAAGTCCTGTATAATTCCTGAAAAGTGAAAACTGAGTTTGAATAAAAGAAATACAAGTGGCCGTTGCCACTTGCAGACGCTCCACCAGGGGGCAGCAGACATGCATAGGACTGGATTTGGCAGGTTTGTGATGAAGCACCAATCCTGATCTAGAGACAAATATCTACGAGGGGTTATTAAGTTCATTTCTGACCTGTTTGTGTTTAAGATTCCAACCCTTTTCCATCCAGTTTGCTTTTACTTAGAGATGACTTGAAGATTCAGTGAGTCAGTAAGAGACTTGTTCTGACACGAGCTCGTTTCCATGCTGTACGAGTTGTGAATGAACTGGGAGCCAGGTGCAGGCCTGGCATGCCCACCAGTCAGAGGACTGAAGGTTTGTGCTGGCTGAAACGTGATCTATCTAAACTTCATGTGTGGTCTGAAAGGTTTGAACTTCTAAACATGATGATAGGAAACGATGAGCAGCGGACTCACCAGCCCTTCTTGGTGGACAGTTCTTTGACTTTCACCTGCCACCCTGGAGCAACAACAACATGCTTTAATAGGACTTTGCAGTGGATGAAGTCAAACTCCCAGTCGTTGCACTCACCTTCCACTTCTCGCTCGTGGACCTCCCGCAGCTTTTGCAGCAGGTCTTTGAAGCTCTCCATGTCTAAAGGTGCTCTGAAACAACAACGGAACAGAGTTTTCCCACTTTTCCCCATTAGAAGAATGGAAATGAGCAGAATTTCCCGTTTAGAACCTCTAGATTTGAGCTGAATCAGTGCGCCACACCCTTGATCCATCGTTATTACGAAATGATAAAACTTGTGAAAACACTCTCAGAACTGTTGAACGTTATAGCCCGAGGACTGTGGTGTGGATCTGAGAAACACAGCACACTCTGCCTTTCTCATGTAGAAGCAGACATTTTTTCTGTCATATCGAGGAAAACCAGTCCGACCGGCTCTGCCAGCTGTGGGAGGGAAGGCAGTTTGTGTTTCAAATACATGAAAAACAGCTTTGGGTGTTTGTGTCCGAACTCTGACATTTAAAGAGAATTTGAGAAAGGAAGTCCTAATTCTCGTTATTTTTTAATCCATCCGAGCCCACACAGGAAACAGCACCCCACGCTTCCACACACAGCGATGCTTTTAAAGGCCACACCACGTTCTCGTACATGGTTTCATCCATTTACGATGCTGAGGTCATGAAATATTGTTCCCTAAGTTCCTACATTACAGCTCACCACAAGGGAAGACTTAGATTTTAAATGACAGCAGAAGCATGAGGGGACTCCAAAACCAGAATCTCTCTCAGTTGTGACGGTTGAAGACTAAATATTTCCAAATTGTCTTAAAATGTTCTCAAAATTTCTCGATTTGCTTGCATGAGTCACAAGGCCTCTCTGTTGCATAACAGCGACCTGGAACATGTTCCAAAACTTCACTAAATAAACCAAAAATACTGTCCTCAGCATCTGGAACCTGTTTCCCAAACGGTCCCAGTTTCATTTGAGCCAGAATACGCCTGACGGAGGCGCAGACGGACCGCTCCTGCTATGTGGGCACCAGACTGGCTGTGTGCTCCCCCGGAGTTGGCCCACGGCGTTTGGAAGGATGCCGGGCTCCACCGTCACCCCTTGTCCCCGGACGGAGCCGCGAGCTCGCAGCTGCCCCGGCTCGGCGCGCCGGCTTGGACCCGCCCCCAGTCGGATCAGCTGTCCCATCTCCGGTCCAATCAGCGCCCCCGTCATCTGCAGGCAGAGGAACCACGCCTACAGCCCAGCTGACAGAGCTCGCCGGTCTCCAGGTGGAGCTTGGCCGGATCCGTCAGCTCGTCAGCCTCTGGGAGTTCCAGCTGGACACCCTATCCTCCCCGTATCTCCAGGAGAGGGTTTCTGTCCAGCCAGCGGCCCCGCCTCCGGTCCAGTCAGTAGCTCTCTCATCTCCAGGCCAAAGGACCGAGCTCGCAGTCCATCCAACAGAGCTCGCCAGTCTCCGAGCTGAGCTGGTCCGACTCCGTCAGATCCTCAGTCTTCAGGAGTTCCAGTTGGACAATCTATCCTCCCTGCTTTTCCAGTTACTGGCTCCACCAGGTCCCGCGCCACCAGTCCAGTCAGCGCCAGTTTCAGCAGTGGTCCCAGAGGTTGCGCCGCATCCTGTTCCAGCGGTGGTCCCGGAGGTCGACGCCTCCTGTCCAAGGGTCGACGCCTCCAGGCCAAGGGTCGACACCTCCAGTCTCGAAGTTGACGCCTCCAGGCCAGAAGTTGACTCCTCCAGGCCAGAAGTCGACGCTTCCAGGCGAGAAGTCGATGCCTCCAGGCCAGAAGTCGACGCCCCCAGGCCAGAAGTTGACGCCCCCAGGCCAGAAGTCGACGCCTCCAGTCTCGAAGTCGACACCCCAGGCCAGAAGTCCACGCCCCCGGGCCAGAAGTCCACACCCCCAGGCCAGAAGTCCACGCCTCCAGTCTCGAGGTTGACGCCCCCAGGCCAGAAGTCGACGCCCCCAGACCAGAAGTCGATGCCTCCAGTCTCGAGGTCGACGCCTCCAGGCCAGAAGTCAATGCCCCCAGTCTCGAGGTCGACGCCTCATCCACTCCAGAGGTCGACACCTCATCCACTACGGAGGTCGGCGCCTCATCCGCTCCAGAGGTCGGCGCCTCATCCGCTCCAGAGGTCAGCTCCTCATCCTTTCCAGAGGTCGGCTCCTCATCCACTCCAGAGGTTGACGCCCTCTCCAGTCCAGAGGTCGATGATCTTTCCAGTCCAGAGATCGACGCTCTTTCCAGTCCAGAGTTTGACACTCTTTCCAGTTCAGAGGTCGACGCTCTTTCCAGTCTAGAGGTCGACGCCCTTTCCAGTCCAGAGGTCGACGCTCCCTCGTGTCCAGAGGTCGACGCTCTCTCCAGTCCAGAGGTCGACCCTCTCTCCAGTCCAGAGGTCGACCCTCTCTCCAGTCCAGAGGTCGATGCTCTCTCCAGTCCAGAGGTCAGCGCTCTCTCCAGTCCAGAGGTCAGCGCTCTCTCCAGTCCAGAGGTCGACGCTCTTTCCAGTCCAGAGGTCAACTCTCTTTCCAGTCCAGAGGTTGATGTTCTTTCCAGCCCAGACGTCGACGCTCTTTCCAGTCCAGAGGTCGACGCTCTTTCCAGTCCAGAGGTCGACGCTCTTTCCAGTCCAGAGGTTGACGCTCTTTCCAGTCCAGAGGTCGACGCTCTTTCCAGTCCAGAGGTCGACGCTCCCTCATGTCCAGAGGTCGACGTCCCCTTCAGTCCAACATATCTGCCATCTCCAGTCTAGAGGCCGCCGCCGCCGCCTCCAGTCCAGAGGCCGCCGCCTCCAGCTTGGCTCCTCCTCCTCCTCATGCTGTCATCAGCTTGAAGCCCAATCCCAATACTCACACTTCCACTCTTGTGCCCTTCTATTGCGTGTTCCCTGCCAGGGGTGCGAGCTATTACGGTATCCCATTCTCAGATGTGGAAGGTGACCAGGCCCCTTTTCTACCCTTGACCTCCATACACAGGTTAATCCAGTTATGAGAGAGTATTAAGGGCTGATTGTAAGTTTCCCTCCTCTTTAAATATTATCCGAAGGGCAGCAGCACGGGGTCTAAAACAAAGATTGTTCACCATCATGGTTATGGGGAAGGGCACAGAGAGCTGTCTCAGAGATCTCTGCAGTCTGGTTCCACAGTTAGGAATAAGTTGACGTGGAAGACCACAGGCACAGTTCAAGTAAAGGCTCATAGTGGCAGACCAACGCCCTTTTCAGATAGACATTCTGGAACATTTGCGGACAATTCAATCCGTTTTTTAACCGGAACTGTGTTTTCAGACACACCACTTTTGTACCGGAACTTGTCCTTTCGGCTGCGTTCACACAGCAGGGAAAAATTCCAGATGTCTGACGGCGGCGGGGGGTGGGGTGGGGTGGAGTGTGTGTGTGTGTGTGTGGGGGGGGGGGGGGGAAATCAGACTTATGTTAAGAAGAAGAAGAAGAAAATATCATTTCTATAGTGCCTCTCAAGATAAAAATCACGAGGCGCTTAAGCATAATTCTGCGCACACGAAGACGCATAAGAGACCTGGATGATGAATCTCAATGGTTAAAGGAATCACTGAAGCGGTGTGAAGCGCTCCGTCGTGCGTCTAGATGGTACCGTAGGAGGCAAGCTGCTGTGGTTCGCCGCATGCTACAGCAGCGGGCTATCTAGGTGCGCACAGCGTCCCTGGTCCCCTCCTCCTCCCCCTCCCCCTTGTCCGGAACTTTACCTCACCAGTCTGAAGCAGCCACCCTGTCTGTAACATGTCCAGACCTGTTACTAGGGGCTTCGTCCAGTAAAATTCCGGAAGACGTTATCCGGATGTTTGTATTCAGACACAAAGGTCTTACGGACAGAGTCCGGAACATTTCCGTTTTTCATGGCCTGTCTGAAGGGGGCTCAAGAAAACTCTGCGATAAACCCAAGGGTTAGGGTGAGAACAGTCAACCCACAGACCGACACCAAAGACCTACAACATCATCAGGCTGCAGATGGAGTCACTGTTCGTCGTTCAACTATTCCGCGCACCTTACACAAGGAGGTGCTGTTTGTGAGAGTGACACAGAGGAAGGCTTTTCTCCACCTACAGCACAAACAGAGCAGCTGGAGGTCTGTTAAAGCACATCTGGACAAGCCAGCTTCATTCTGGAATAAGGTGCTGTGGACTGCCAAAACTAAAACGGACTTCATTGGGCAGAACACGGAATGCTATGCATAGAGGAGAGAGAACACTGCATTCCAAGAAAAACACCTACTTCCCACAGTAAAACACGGTGGTGGTTCCATCATGCTGTGGGCTGTGTGGGCGGTGCAGGGACTGGGAATCTTGTTAAGGATGAGGGATGCTTGGTTTCCACTCAACATCAGCAGATTCTGGAGACCAACATCTAGGAATCAGTGACAAAGCTGAAGCCGCACCGGGGCTGGACCTTTCAACAAGACAACGAACCGAAACACTGCTCAACAACTACTCAAGCCTTCATGCAGAGGAACATGTAGAACATTCTGGAATGGCCATCTCAGTCCCCAGACCTGAAAGTTATTGAACATCTGTGGTGTGAGTTAGAGTGCTGTCCATGCTCAGAAGCATCAGACCTGAGACGACTCTTGTCCTGATATGCTGCCATATAATTGTGCTTGGTTGATCTGGGTCTTTCCAGGACTCCCACAGGAAGGCAGCCAGGAGACATCGTTGGCAGATGCCTGAACCTCGTTTGATGAGGAGGAGCAATGGCTCTCCCCCGAGCTCCTCCTGCATGACGGCGCTCACCTCTAAGGCCATGCAGGCCTGCCTCCAGAGGAAACTCCTTTAGGATGCTCGTACCCAGCGTTCATGTTGTTGATGAAATATTTAGCTTTTATTTGTGTAAAGAATGACATTTTGTCAACTAAAGCTAACTGACAAATAAAAAATATCAATTTAAAAACATAAAATTATGACTAATATGGATCAACATGTTAGTCAACAAATAAAAGACAAAAACAAAAATCCAGTCAGGAAACAGAAAAGATGGGAAAATGGAAAAAAGAACCAATCTGCAAACTGAACAGGTGCGACTAAACCAGGCTAGACCAGACCAAACCAGACCAAACCAGGCCTAACCAGACCAAACCAGACTAAACCAGGCTAAACCAGACCAGACCAGACCAAACCAGACCAAACCAGACCTAACCAGACCAAACCAGGCCAAACCAGACCAAACCAGACCAAACCAGACCAAACCAGACCTAACCAGACCAAACCAGGCTAGACCAGACCAGACCAAACCAGACCAAACCAGGCTAAACCAGGCTAAACCAGACCAGACCAGACCAAACCAGACCAAACCAGACCTAACCAGACCAGACCAAACCAGACCTAACCAGACCAAACCAGACCAAACCAGACCTAACCAGACCAAACCAGGCTAGACCAGACCAGACCAAACCAGACCAAACCAGGCTAAACCAGGCCAAACCAGACCAGACCTAACCAGGCTAAACCAGGCTAAACCAGACCAAACCAGACCTAACCAGACCTAACCAGACCAAACCAGACTAAACCAGGCTAAACCAGACCAAACCAGACTAAACCAGACCAAACCAGGCTAAACCATGCTAAACCAGACCAAACCAGGCTAAACCTGGCTAAACCAGACCGCACTAGGCTAAACCAGACCAAACCAGACCGAACTAGGATAAACCAGACCAAACCAGACCTAACCAGACCAAACCAGGCTAAACCTGGCTAAACCAGAAGTCTGGAGCCGGTTTGAACAAGTTAGGTTGAAAACGTCTGCGGCTGGGAGGAAAGGCAGCAGACGTGACCATCTGAAAGGTCTGTGCTCATCCTGGTGATAACAGTGTTACGGTGGCAGCAGCGTGGGGGCGGGGTCAGCAGTAGAGTGGTGTATCTGGACTTTTAGGTGGTTTTGTTTTTGTGGTGTTGCTACGGCGATATTATCAGCTGTGTGAAACTAATGAATCAACCTGAAACAGTTCTTTCCTTAGTTTACCTCCTCGCATTAGAGCAACACCTTTTCATCCTTTGATGTATGATGTCATTTCCTGTCATGTTTACAAACATTACTGCACGTTTTACTGACTCTACTTCATTAATAGAGACTGTTCATTTGGCTATTTTCCATTCATTATTGGGCTGCATGATGGCGCAGTGGTTAGCACTGTTGCCTCGCAGCACACAGGTTGCAGGTTCGAAACTCGGCTGCGGCCTTTCTGCGTGGAGTTGCGTGTTCTCCCCATGCATGCGTGGGTTTCCTCCGGGTACTCCGGTTTCCCCCACAGATCACAACACGCCCCATAGGTTATAAACTGTAAGTCGCTTTGGATAAAAGTGTCTGCTAAATAAATAAACATAAACATTTATAAATACGGGTTTGCTGATCCAAAAAGGTGAGTTTGACATATTTTTAGTTTCCAGGTGCTAACATCTGCTTTACTGTAAAGGTGAACATAACTGCATCAGCTGTGGACGTAGAAGATGTCTTCTGTCTCCCAGCGTGTCCCTGATGATAACAGGACTCTTGCTCTTCTCTCAGCTCAGCTCAGTCCAAGCTTATATGTGAACTTTAACTTGTTATTAGTCTAATTATTGTCCTTATAAGGTCCTTTATGAGCCACTAACTTCACACTCTCTGCTTCTCTAAAGGAGGAAATCACCATGGCAACAAATGGTTCAGCAATAATCCATCATGGCTGCCCCCATGGGCCGGGGACCCTGTGTAACTGGGTCTTTAAAGAAACTGGAATTAATTTCAAATATGTAAAAGTGTAATTTTTGTTATTTACATAAAAACACTTCAAACTTAGATTTCTGATGACCGCTCTCATGTCTCAGCTGCTTTTATGGGAGAAAAGTCCTCTTCTTCACATAAAACCTTTAGATTGTTATAGAAGTGGACAGACTGATTCCACGGCACCGATTCATGAGTGAAAACTCAAATTCAGCTTTTGATCCTTTCAGATTCACTCTGACATGTCAGGATATGCCAGGAGAGGCTGTTCTGATCACCTCAGTAGAGCAAGAAAAGACCTGTCTACACACACACACACACACACACACGCACGCACGCACGCACGCACGCACACACACACACACACACACGCACGCACGCACGCACACACACACACACACACGCACGCACGCACGCACGCACGCACGCACACACACACACACACACACACACACACACACACGCACGCACGCACGCACGCACGCACGCACGCACGCACGCACGCACGCACACACACACACACACACTGGGGGTTTGGGTTATGCTACACGCTAGCAGGCGTCCCACACATCTACGTGTACGTCTGTAGGTCAGGAGATCAGCTGTCCTGCTTCCTGTGAGCGGACGTTCATACCGAACCAAACATCTGCAGCAGACCTGTTGGATTTGTTATGAAGTTCATTTGAGGCTCTAAACAGTCGTGTGGATAAATGAAATGCCCTAAAATGCCTGAACCTCTGCTACTGTAGACGCTGTATCTTATAAAAGATGATATTTGATCATGTGGACCCTAAATGTTCACCTGTAGGCTAACCCTAACCCACACAATGCTGTAACTGTTCCCTGTAGTCTGGCTCAGTCCCTGCAGCACATACCTGCAGCTATCCCAACACCTGAGGAGCCAATCAGATCCAGCTCTCCAGACCTCAGCCAATTTGAACTCACCACACTTAACCGGGGCACTCTCCTGGATGTCCTCTCTCTCCTGGCTTCCCAAACAGGCAGAGATGTGGAGACAGAAGGAACCAAAGTGCGATGAAGAGGAGAAACAGAAGAGACTGAGGTGAAGGAGAACGCCCCATTCCCCCTCCCCGCTCTCTCTCTCTCTCTTTTTTTTTGCATCTCTTCGGCAACAAAAACCAGTTCGGGCAGTCCTCCCCTTGAGGAACACAAACACAGAGGCCTGGGCAAGTTCTCCCTTGATATTCCTGTTCTGCTGAAATCCCACAGAACCGGTTAAACCGGTCCCAAAGGCCCGGTGGCGATAGAGGGACATGAGCAGACTACTGAACAGTTCATGACCGATAAGGACCTTCTTGATCCCGTTTAGGAATAAGAAGTCAGAGTTTTTATATTCCTATTAGATCAGGAGCACACTCTAGCCCCCATTCAGAACCTTTTTGACCTCATTTTGGTGCAGAAGAGCTCAGAATGAGGTCATTCAAGATGGGCAGCAGCTGTGAGGTCCATTATCTTAACAACAAAGAGACATAATGCACGTTATTTCATCAGTGGGACTGTGGCACTGCTCTTTGTGGTAAACGGCAGGCAGTAGCATTGGATTGCCATCGCCACGGAGACGACACAAGACAGAATCCTTGTGTGATGTTTAAAAAAGAAAGAAAGAAAAATGCACCTCTTCCTGGTTCGGGAGCCAGATTCTTCAGAACCAGTTGGACCGGGCTGAGCTGGGCATCTTTGTCGTCATCGCCTGACCTGCCACTCCCAGCATCTCGCTGCAGTGTACATGCGGTTCACTCGTGTGCCTCTGCTGACCGTGGAGCAAATGGGTTCGAGCTTCTAGACCGACCGAACCTGCTTTAGCTCAGAGGAAACCCCCATCAGACCAGGATGGCTTCAGCGTTGGGTCTATCCACCTGATGCCCGACCCTTTGACCCAGAGCTAATCACACACGTGATCTCCTTCCAGTCATAGCAATTAAACACAGTCAAGAAGAGCTTCAGCATCACGAAAGCAGGCTCGGAACCATTCAAACTAAGCCACACCCATCATTTCAGCTATGTGGACACGTGTGGAGCACGACTCCTGGAACAAGGTGAACAAATTCCAGAATCTGAAACGTTTAGCTCCTCTGCTATGGATGAGGAGCAAACAACTGGAGACGTGGAGTCAGATGACATTAGGTCAGGGGTGCGCCGATGGGAAACACTTGGGCAAACATCGACATTGATATTGTGGCATACCAGAGGTCAGGTTTTCCTCAACATGACCAGAAAGTGGCCTTTGCTTTAGAGACACAAACACCCCGACTGTCTGGCCTCCAAACCAGAGAGCTCTGCACCGGTCCTGTTACCGCACGAGAGGACTCTGCCGTTTCAGCCGGGGTCTCGTGCGTTTTTCACTCTGGATAAAGCTCACCTTCCTCAAAGTTCCTACGTGACTTTACTACTTACAGCATGAAATTATCAAATGTGTTGAAAGAACAAGATGTTTAAATCAAATGTTTGATCCACAAAAATAAACAATCAGTGATGACCAAGAGTCTGCTTCTAGACCTGCAGAAATGGGACACACAACAATACATCAGGAGCAATCACTGCGTCACCTTGATGAGGAAATATAAAATCAACATTGTTTAACTGAACAATCACACGATAATAAATCACAGTGCATTTAGTGCCAACCACAGCCTTGTGGTTGAACGTGCCCAAGCCCCTACTTTTGAGAGCACCATGAGAGCACCTGTGTGTGTACACACGCTTGTTCATGTAAGGTTTCTCTATAGGAGCGTCCAACAGAGAGTGTGAGGGGCCACAGATCCACCCCCCAAAGATATGCAGGGGACAGGGGGAGCTCCAAGTCCCAGAGATCCAGGCGCTGCCCCAGAACACAGGAACCCCAAGGAGACTGCAACCAGAAAGGCCCCCGCCCCCCTCGAAAGGCACAGAGGATCGTCCCGGGGGGCCACAACCAGCAGCCGGCAGAGTCCCGGGAGATATCAGCAGCAAGCCCACAGGCCCGCCCGCAGCCTTCCACCCCCTAGCCGGCCGAGTCTGGAACCCAGCGACCCGGGACCCAGGGGCGACCACCCCCGCCCGGGACCCAGCAGAGCCCAGGGACCCAGACCCCACCAGGCAGCCACCGGGATCTATCAGGCAGACGCCAAAAACTTAAACCCCCAGACCCGGGAGCCTCGAACACTCAGGCAGACCAAGGCACCACACCCCACAGGAGGAGGGGAGGCGAAGATGTGTAGCATCAAAAGAAGTCCCAGGAGAGGGGAGGAGTCAAAGGCCCCACCTGACATATACAGCCATACACAAACACAGTCACACGCTCTCCCTCATGCTCACACATGCACATACAACCAAAGACTTACAAAAATGCACGCCGGACCCCCACTCATGCTCCCCATACACACCCTATTCACTCTGGTCCCGGTACTGCTGCACATGGGGTACAACCATCACCGGTAACCAGAGTTTGACCCTTTCTGCTGGGGTGCTGATGAGCCCCCCCCAATGCTGAACACAGCAACCCACCACCCCAGACCCCAGCCAGACGGCCAGATCTCCCTCCTAGCCTCCTGCCCCGAGAAGCCAAGCGACATCAGAGGTGTGCCGAGACCCCTAGTCCCCCTCCGCCTGCTCCAGTACGGCGTTAGTGCGTGTTGATGAGGTGTATTCCATGGCTGGAGGGAGCCAGCAGAGGTATCGTCTGGCCTACGCCAGCTCATGGCAAACAACTTCCTAAAATGGAATGACTCGAAAACTGAGTCGATTCTGTTCAACTTAAAGATCACTGATCCCTCAGCACCGACCCGGACACTCACAACCTTCATTTAAGGCGGTGCATAATGAGTCTGGGTGTTGAACTGGATGCTAGCCTTACGATAACACTGCAAATAAACATGGTGATAAGGTCATGCTTCAACTGAGCCGACTGTCACATCTAAGACCAATCTTGAGAAAAGCACACCTGGAGTACCACATGCATTTATCACATCCGGACTAGACTATGCAAACCCCCTCCTGATTGGTGCCCCCGCATCAGCCTTAAATCGTCTGCAGGGTGTCCAGAATGCTGCAGCTAGGTTCCTGGTGAAGGCTGCTGGACGTAACCACACCACCCCATCTTAGCTGCTCTCCTTCGGCTTCCAGTCTCATTCAGAGTCAAATTTAAGATCTTGCTCCAAGGAAGGTCCCCTCCTGTCTTGCTCTCCTACAATTAGTTATTACATGTAGCAGCAAACCGTCTTCCCTCGCTCCAGGGTATGCAGTCAGATCCTGAGGAGTTTTTTTGAAGAACTTAGTCCTGTTTTGTCTTTGCAACATTCCAGTTTCAGTCTCTTTCATAAAGAACATGAAGAATGTCAGATGAGTTGTAATAAATCTCACTGTTAGACTGACTGTTGGACACCCTGCCATTCCCAATGATGCCAACCTTAACAGTCCCACCACTGTATCTTCATTCAGCTGAAGAAAGCTCCCAGCATCCAGGCTGTGATAGAGTCTAAGCAGGTGTGTAACAGCTGCAGCTTAGACATCTCATGGGGCTTAAAGGAGATGTACATCCAACTGGACATCATCTCCTTTAAGCCCCATGTCTGTAGCTTGCTTCTCACACCAAACCAAATTTCTCTCTTTCCTGTTCACGCTCTCTCTTCCTTAACATGTTTAATCACTATTGCCTATTTTTGCTCATTTTAAATATATTTTTAATCATTTTCTAAATGCTTTTTTATATTTTTACATTTTTTGTTTTTGTGAAGCGCCTCGTGATTTTTATCTTGAGAGGCGCTATAGACATGATCTCTTCTTCTTCTTCTTCTTCTTCTTCTTCTTCTTCTTCTTCTTCTTCTTCTTCTTCTTCTTCTTCTTCTTCTTCTCCCATTTACGGATTGTCTGGGTGTGATGAGATGTGCGACATGATGAAAGTGGCGGCGGTGGGAACCTCCCATTTTGACTAAAAACGTATCACTGGAGCCTACGGGCAGTGTTTGTCCAGTTTAAATGTGGATGCTTTACCTGACTCCTCAGGTGTGTGCTCTAGGTGTGTTGTGTCTTTTACGTACAGCGCTGTGGTCAGCTGCCATGCTGCTCTGAACCAACCGGTACGGTTAGGATGACCCTCACAACCCATGTTGTAACTAGACTCAATAGAAACAGAGTCAAGGGCGCTTGTGTGCTGGTGTGTGACTGCTGCGCCCCCTTGTGTGAACAAATCAACATCACATCTGAATAGTTTGATGATTCAAACTTTCACTGAGCTTCAGAAATATCCTTGGTTTAATCCCTGGAGATTATCGTCTGTAATCCTTACCAAACCGGCTGGTGGTGGCCAATGCTCGTCAGCCTCACGTCTGTCAGTACGTCCCAGCTCACCACCACCAGTGTGTGTGTGTGTGTGCGCGCGTGTGTGTACACGTGCGTGTGTGTGCGCGCGTGCGTGTGTGTGTGCGCGTGTGTGTGCTCGGTTGGTGTATAAAATTGTGTGTTATTTATTTATTTATTTATTTAGTAACTTTTAAATAAAGAACCCACGTCAGCAGGTGCTGCATAAAGCTTTTATTGCATAAATATCTTATAATTTATGGAGCAAACATTTTAAATTCCACAACTACACAACAGAATTAAAGTAGGCCCTCGCCACCTGTAGATCCTCCACCAGGGGGCAGCACACACGTTTAGGACAGGTTTCTGATGACGGTACGAATCCCGATACTCTAGCATGGGCTCCCTACTATGAGGCCACCGGCTTCTGCAGCCTCCTTCCTAAAGGATCGGAGCTCCTTCGGATGGCTGCAGGAGCGATATTTGCACTCAGGACTCTGGTCTGGCAGGAGCTTCATTTGACCGCTGTGAAAATAAAGTTTCATGAGTTTGGAGCTCAGCTTGGCGATCTCTTCAAAACACCTTCAAGTTTAATCTGAGGAAAAGAAGAAAGAGGACAAAAAGCAGAGTTTCAGCCCTGCAGGTTTGATTAATTGTGACTGGAGCGGCTGAAGAAGTAGGACTGTGTGTGAACATTGTTGTCGTGTTGCCGGTGACTTCCTGTCCTTGCCAGCCTGTTTCCTGTACGTCTCCACGACAGGACGCCGACGTGCTTCCTC